CCCACACCCACCCACGTCCACTGAACGGAAACATGCCGTAATAACTTCTATAACAACCTCATCCTCACCCCCATCCATACCCTAATAATTGAAATATTCGCAACAATAAGTAAAACGTGTCATTTCACAAAAAAGACTTTTCTGTTTCATGACATGAGGTGTCATGTTTGGTAATTCTGTTAAAAGATTCAAATGGAGATTTAGCACGGGATTGATCCTTGTTATTATCTATGCTTGTAAAAATCTTACGCACTGGATAGCTATTCAATAAATGCAACTTAACAGTTCCGATGGTAAACGAAATGAAGTAGTTTGCAACATGCACACTGCCCTATTCACGACTTATATTGATACTTGCTGTAAACAATAAGCTTAAACAATTCGCTTTTTGGCGAAATCTGTTGACACTATTAGGGCTCGTTACAAGAGTTTTCAATATTTATGACCTTGAAAATCATTTCTTCCATCTTCAGTATTTGACCTCAAGACCTTCGTCATCATCAAATTAGTCTTTGTCTTGTGTGTCTTTTTCTTTTTTTTTTTCAAAGGTATTTTAATAACAGAATGATGAAGGTTACCGTGTACACATGAGTCATCATTCATTATTCTTTCCATTTCTACAAAAAAGTTTCGAAATTACCATTTGTTATGAAATTACAGTGTGAAATAAAATATAAATGGTGGTGTTTCATCTTCTTCATTTTTAATTTTTGATCATGACTACTACGTTGATGACAATAAACGTGGATACACTCTATGATGAATTAATGAGTCTTTGTTCTCAAGATGATACTTTCTACTACAAAGATATTCGTTTATATTCAGTCAAGTATCGTGTATTCAATTATCGTCTCTGTTCTTATGCAACATTTCAGTCTCGTACAGCAGCCTTGAATTGTCGTGGAACAATGTTCAACATTACGAATCCAAAAAATATACAACTCGTTTCTTTACCACTAGAGAAATTTTTTAATTACGAAGAAGGCTTTGGTCGAAAGCAATTTCATGAACGTGGCCGGCTTGGAGACAAAATGGAAAAAATGGATGGAACATTGATATCAACATTTTTACATGGAACAGCTTCGAAAGAAGTTCGACTTAAATCAAAACAATCCCTGACATCCAAGCAGGTTATAGAAGCGATGCAATTACTTGTTGGTATGTAAGTTAATAATATATTTCAACATAGAATGCTTTTTTTGTGCATAAAGCATTCATCGTCGTAGATTTTTAAAAATATGAGGGGAAAGTATTCTCGATCTGTTCAAGGGTGAACGAATTCCGTTTTTTTTCGCTTGCAGCAATTTTATTTTGATCAAACAAAAGTTGACAGCTTCAGAAATTTTATAAAATAGGTAGGCAAGAGTGCCTCATATTTTTCATAAACTTCCGTTCGTTTGAAGCTTTTGTTCAAATTCTATAGGTAACGTAGTAGTCCTTGATGGAATCATGCGTAGACGTTCCGAATGGTTGAGATGTGCAAGAAGCCTTTAGTCCTTTACTGAAAAATTTTCTGTGAATGTACCCGCTCATTCTTGAAAAAAGTATCACGAAACAAAAAAAATTATTTCTTGCTCTGGAACACGCAAAAGAGTACAAGGGTAAAGATGACAACAGAATCAATACGAGAAAAAAGCATACATGAATATAGAGAAGAGAATAGCTAATAAAATCGAAACATAATTTATCTCAATTCTATATCTTGGTTATTTTTCTCTTCAGGTGACTTTAAGTCTGAAATAGAACGTCTGATTCGTCTCAATTATACTGTCGATATGGAATATACATCGCCTTCCAATCATGTTTTCGTGTCCTATCTACAAGCTCAACTCACTGTTCTTTCCATTCGATCGCATACCGATGGTCAGACTTTGTTTGGTACTCGATTGAAAAAATTTCTTCTTGAAAATCATTTTCCTATAATCCTTGATCATCTCGTCTCGTTTGAATCCATTCCATCCGATGTAACACACCAACAATTACTACAAGATATTTATAAACAACCGTATGGAGAAGGATACGTTGTTGAAATTATTCAACCTGATCAACCATCGTATCTTGTCAAAATCAAAACAGAAAAATACCTTAGGATTCATAGAGATGGTCAAGATGCAAATTCTCCAAGATCACTATTTGAAGCTATTATTAATGAACATGCAGATGATCTGACAGGATTATTTAAAGATGATACAGAAACATTAAAGAGAATCAACGAGATGGAACAAAACATAAGACCAAAATACAATCGCATGATTAAATCGATTGAACACTTTTATCGGACGAATAAACATTTGTCGAAGAAAGATTTTGTCCGATCGATCGCAATGAACGAAAATATGAAGATTTATTTACCGCTGTTGATGAGATTGTATGTAGGTGAAGACAATGATTATAAACTTTTTGCCATAAAATATTCAAAAGATTTGTTCGGCATTTATGGCGATGGAAATCAATCAATCAATAGCAGCGAACCAACATGACTGAGAATGAGAAAATTGGATTGAAGCAGTGATGTGCGTATTTTATTTACTCATAGTTGATGTCATCGATGAATGGCATATCAAGCACTGACTTGCATTACAATATTTTCATTGTTATTGGAACTAAACTTACACCGAAAATCACTGATACGATGTCATCCACTGCTGTAACGATGTGCATCGTCCATTCGCACATCGATTCTTTCATAGTATACCACCTTCTGTGCTGTTATTTACTAGAATGAGTACTCCATTAGATCTTTCATCAAATACTATAATTGTGGACTAGCTTTATTCGTGATTACAGTGCATCAATAAGATGTTCAGTTCAGAGTCTTCTTATAAAATATTCATTATCTTTCGCTGTTGTTTTATCTTTGATCATGTAACGAACCTTTCTGTAAGCATATCTCTTTCTCTTTCTTTTCATGTGTGATTGATTGTCTAGTACGCTGTAAAAAAAAAAGGTTTTTTACCAAACCCCCGAAAAAGGTTCCGGAGATTTGAAAAAGCTTGCAAATGCATTCAAATGCTTAAAAAACGATTCTTCAGTTCTACGAAACCTTGAAAGGTTCTTCCCCTGGGTACACGGGAAGAACCTTCTCCTGCGAAATCTTTTTTTAAGTTCCGTACAGCAGAAAAAAGTTTCGTATTAAATTCTACTGGCTTAGTACGAAACCATTCGTGTTTAGTAAAAAAACCACTAGAATTTAATACGAAACTTTAAAGGTTTCGTATTTTTTTACGAAACTTTTTTATGCTGTACGGAACTTAAAAAAGGTTTCGCAGGAAAAGGTTCTTCCAGTGAGCCCAGGGGAAGAACCTTTAAAGGTTTCGTAGAACTGGGTGGGATGTGGGTGGGTGTGGGTATGGGGTGTGGATGTGAGTGGGTGTGGAGTGGGTGTGAGGGTGTTGGTAGAGAATAGAGTTACCCACACCCACACCCCTACTGGTACTATACTATTCATTTAAAGAGCAAATGAATTTTTAAATGAGCAAACAGAATTAATTACAAATACTTTGTTATTAATATTAAACAATTTATTAATTTACTGAGCAGACGATTAGTTAACTGAGCAAACATAATAGTTACTGAATATTAAATATTATATTGATAGTTTAATTTGTTTACTGAAAAATTGCATAGAATACTGAGCATTAATTTTGTTGTCATTATATATTATATATGTAAATCTATATTTTAATCGATAATGAATGTCATGTGGTTCAAAGAAATGTTAATTTTGAAAATAAAGGACGATCATCTCATCTGTGATTTGAATCATAATCTAGATATATTGTTTTTCTTAATAATAGTAATAATCTCACGAGATTACATAGAAAAAACAGGAGATTGTCATTCTCTTCTCTTATTCAATTGAATATTGAGTGTGTATACGACCTTCTTTCCATCATTCTATAATACAAACCTATTAAATCGTAAGAAAGAACTAATAGAATGATTCCATACAACACTGTATGATGCTAGAAAGTTATGTTTAAAATGAAAAATCCTTCTTTCACAATGGTTTAGAGAAATATGAAAAGAATGTTTTTCATTTTAAATGTATTCTTCATCTTTTCAATTCAACTCAAATCAAAAAAATAAATGAACATTACTTTCTGATCGTATTGGATCTGAAGTTCAAAACATTTTCAATAATTGCACTTGATATATACGTTACCAAGTTGTTTTTCATTTCAATTGTAAACTATTTCTCTTGGAGTCAAACGTTCAGTCTTATAGTTTTTAACAAAACAAGATTATTCCAAAATATCCGAGTACAAAAATAATATCTTGAATTTGATTCCATTTTTAATTTATTAAGTCAAACAATATGAAAATATTTCGTCTTTTGTATTAATTATCTTATCATTGATATTCTATCTAAGAGAATTCATTTAACTAAATAAAATCAATGATAAAGTTTAATTCAATGAGATTTTTGATAATTAATGAATTGGACTTCAAATGTCTAGATTAATATATTTTATTTTGTATTAAATGTATTCACCGAGTGATAAAAAATTGCAATGAATCATTATTTTGTTTTATATTCTACATATAATAATATGTGTTATAAGAAACATACTACATAAGAAATATTTTGTTTGACAAGAAAATAATAAGCTGACCGATAGACCGTTAAGAAATTCTAACGAAAAATATTAGACAGAATGAAAACTACCATTATCTATTCGGTAGTCAAATAGATTGAACTAATTCAGAGTGAATTAAGAAACACAATTAACGTTTTTTATTTAACAATACAAATTCTATTGGTTAGTTCGCTTTGAATTAGTTTTGTCTGTTTGTTACCTTCATTATAGAACAACATGACGACATCGATATTGATTCTTCATTGTTCTTACAGACACGGTAATGAGAAATATATATATAAATATAGATTGACATGAATACATTGAATGAGTTAGACATGAACAATTTAAATAATAATCATCTCAATATACTTGATTTACCCAATGGAAATTTTATTTATCATTTTTCAAAAACTCAATATGGTTGATGTTCTTCATTCATTTGTGGATGTTAATCAACGATTTAATCAATTAGCATTTGATTCTCTTTATATTCATGATCTTAATATGACTACTATTATGGATATCAGTTCATTGTACGATCAAACTTCTTTAATAGATCCTAAAGTTCTTTCAAGAATTTGTGAAAAAGTCTTACCTCGAATTCACGATCAAATATATAAACTTACTGTTGAAGAATATTCAATCAATCAAATTCTTCTTGCTTCGAATTATCCTAAAATATATTCATTATCACTTGTAAATTTTCATGAAGTAATATTTTATCAATATTTAATGGGTATAGTATTTAATTTTGTTCATTAGAATTCAAAATATGAATTAATATTAATTGTCTTTATTTATTTTTTTAAATTAAAGATAATTTAATTCTTCGTAATCTTATCAAACAAATAACACATCTTAATATTGATATTAAAGAGACAACAGAACATTGTTCGGAAATTGGTTCAAAAATTTTTGCATTAATCTTATCTTTATGTAAAAAATTAATTGTTTTGAATTTTTGTTATATGTTTCCTACACGAAATTATTCACCTCCACTTTAATTAAATTAAAAATCAATGTCTTAACTTTAGTTGATTGTCTTTATTTACTTGATGGACCGCTCATTTGTTTATCAACATTAATTATTAATGTATCATCTACTTGTTGTCCATTACAATACATAGATCCAACAGTAAGTATTATTTCAATGATCATATTTAGAGAAAAAAAAGAAACACCTAAATCAATAAGTAAATAAATATTCTTAATTTTATTTTCTTTATAGAAAAAGCTTCCCAAATTGAAGTATTTTTGCGTTTACCTCATGTAATCACACAAAGAATTATGATGATATAATTGTTCCATTACTTTGTCGAATGATAAATCTTGAAGAATTGAAATTATATTTATCAGTAAGAAGATCTGATTCGACTTATATTGATGGTATTCAATTATATGATCAATTTCTTATTTATATGACACAATTAAAGAAGTTTACATTTAGCATTAAAACAATGGTCTTGTTTAGGACGGTTAAAGTTGAACTTCAATCGAATGAAGATATTCAACGTAGTTTCATTGGAAGAGGATATCAACAAGTAGCGTCATATGTACATCCTAATGCATTTTCATGCGATGGCAAATGCCATATCTATTCACTTCCGTATGACTTCGAATATTTTTTTAATCTCGACAATTCTTTTCAAGGTGGTATGTTTAATAAAGTTCGACAATTGAAAATGAGTGATGCAATTCCTTTTGAAGATAATTTATTTAAACTCATCTCTCAAAACTTTCCTTTTCTCGAATTTTTATATATATCTAATGATTATCCACAAAAACATAATCAACATTCATCAACATCAATCATATTTCCTTATCTTAAATTTCTTGATCTAAAATGGGCACATATTGATTATGCTGAACTATTTCTTTTGAAAAAAAATATGTATTTATCTCGTTTATCAAATCTCTTCATGAAATATGAATCACTCATAACGATAACAAACAATTTTACTAATGATGCAACACAATTTAATTTTGGAAAGTTGAAAAGTCTTGATATATGTCAATCATTTGTTCGTCCAGAAAATTTTCATAAATATTTTCCTTTGTTATAAATTGTTTCAATAAAAGAAAATATATATGGAGAAAATTAAATATTTTTCATTTATTCTATACAGCAACAAACTACGCAAGGATAGTTAGATGATATTCGAGTTTCACTTCACGTTGAAATGTGATACGAAGCGGTTCAAAGATGTATTAACAAGAAATTGTATGAAACGAATAGTCATATTTACGATTGAATACGAAACATTTTATTCCGAGCAGTATCTCTATTTTATTTCATTAAGCTCTTTTTCGTATCAATGTAGTAACAAAATATAAGATATCGATCGGAAAGTCGAACTAGAAAACTAAGTAGACATATACATTACTATGAGAACTTTATCACCAGATATCAACTCATTTCTAAAGAGCATTATCGATTGATCATTTTAATCAGAGTCCATTCGATTTATGGTTGATGTCAGAAACGATAAAAAAAGGCTTGTCAGCCTAGTATCGTGTCCATTCAGCGAAAAAAAATTGAGCGAAAGGCTTTTCAGCAAAAAAAACTGTGAAAATCAGTATAGAGAAAGCACATTTCAACGAAGATGCATAGTAGTGAAAAACATAATAGAGAAGAAACAAATTCGCGAATGTGCAAAATAGCGGAAAAAGAGGATGTGAGTGTGCCGGTGTGGGAGCGGGTGAAGAGAAGTCTTACATCTATACCCGAAGTATTTTCATAGGAGCATTGAAAGTAACGAAAACCAAAAATCATCGATTGAACCATTTTAGTCTCAAATGGTAGAAATATGCACGTATGTTGATATATTTTTTTATCGTCTACAAATAAAAAGGGGAGACATTTGTCTCTTTAAAAGACAACAGACGATAGCTTCAGCAAGATAAAAGATGACACTTGTAACACCGCTGTTGTGAGTCCAGGTGGACTCATAGCGGTGTTTTTTCTCTTTTAGACCTATCAACAGTTTCTGATAAGCATATTATGCATTAACACAAGACTAGAGATTAGAGAGGAAGACCATCTGGGTGAGTGTGGGTGTGGGTGTGGAGCAAAGGGGAACACCCACACCCACACCCTCAAAATAATCAAAAGGTTCAATAAAATCATTAACATGTCCTCATTGTAAACAAACTATTTATATTTCATATTAGTTTATTGTGCTTCATTTTTTGGTCCATTTCATTATTAAAAATTTATTTATCTGCTTATAAAAACAATAACGATATATTTTTACATTCATCTTTTTTTTTTCTATATCATATATTTGCATTAATAATAAAAATACAATAAGTCATTCTCACAGGAATATGCGTACAGTTCTTCTATTCCATAAAAATTTGAATTATTATTTAAAAAAAAAAACCAATTTTCTCATTCACATTTTTCTTTTCTACAGACATCATTATCATCATCTGGAGATTATAGAAAACAAATAGAAAATTCAGATATCATATTTCTCTAACAACATTAAATGATCTTTATTAAAGTCAATCGTAAGTTTATTAAATAATCAAAACAAAAAGAAGAAAAATGAGATTGTTCATTCTTAGAAATTATTATCCATCTTCAATAGGATTCGTTATCCTCCTGATAGTATACATCATTATCCAACATATTCTTCAGCTCTATCAATATATCATCATCCATCTCCATCACTTCATCCAATTCTTTATATTTCAATAAATGGAATAATATATTCAGTTTTCATCTTCATATAACTGCACCATTTACGTCAACATTTATTGCATATCATGAAACAGCTACGCAACCAATATCAAAATCTCCTTCGAAAAATGAATCTTATACAAAACAACGTTATTTTCAACGACTGTAAAAATTAATTTTCTTTTTTTTTTGTTTTTGATTATATGAGATCGATTTTGAATTTTAGTCAAAAATCATTGGTTCGTCATCGTTCACGTTCTTCATTTTATTCAAACAGGTCAGTTAATCTAAAGTTTCTGTTTCGTGAGAACGTAGGTTTTTTTTGTTGTTGTAGTAATTCTCCTAGTTCATCTCGTAGTCGAAGTCGTAGTCATCGACAAGTAAAATCTCCAAGTCGATATAATTGTTCACAACGATATTCATCATTCTATCAAAATTGTTGACGATCCATTGAAATTAAAGAAAAATATTCATCAAAATATCGAAAGTAAAATAAAATTTAAAAAAACAATAATCTTTTGTAATCAAATTCTTGAATAGATCTCAACCTCGTTCATCTTATGAAGAAGAATGATGTCGTTCACTTCGTTCTTTTCCTACTATTCAATAATCTACACAATGTACACTTGTTTATATGTATGAATCTTCACATTCAACGTTAGAAAAAAAATCGAATTTATTTACTATAAATTATTTCTTTTTTTGTATTTTAGTCACTATCATCGTCATTCATTTGGAAATGATGAACTTATAAAAAAAAGGATTGCAATCTGAATCAACTTTTTCTTCTTGAGTAGTTGAACCAACAACTTTCATTAAAAATTAAAACAGTGGTCGAAGAAACAACTGAAAAAGTTCAAAAAGAAAATGCTAAGAATGGAAAAAAAACATTTTAAGAAAGATCGTCATTCGAAAAACAACAAAAAAAAGATCTTCCAAGTAAAGATAAGGAAAAAAATTAGTAACCGATATACCCACATCTATTGTTGAAGTTCAATCATAACATTAACATTTGTTTTTTTTTATGTATTTATTTTTTTCTGTCCTTTTTATTAGTTTTTTGTCTTCAGCAGAAAAATAAAATTTTATTAAGGAAATATTAATTCAACTTAATTGTTTTTTTTTTATTCATTTTTGAAATCCCAATAACACAGACTATTAAGATGCAAAACAGTACAATTTCTTCACGTAAACAATAAATCTTAGAAGCAAACGATTGTTTTTATAAAGATTAAATATGATTAATATCGATTATTGATTAGGTTTTCATCATCAACGTTTCTTAAATTATTAAATAATATTCTTGAAATTTTCAATTGTATTTTAATTTTTGTTGAATTGAATTTTTATATTATTTCAAACTTCTTTTGTCTTTTGATCAAATGAAATATAACAAAAGGGTTGCGTATTAATTGCGACCAAAAATTAAGTCAATTAGTTGAATGTCTATCATTTACCACAAATCGTGGTACCCTAAATCTATCCCTAAATTCAATCCACATTTGTGGATAATGAAATTGGTAAAATCAAAAGTGGTGACCAATTAGGGATTTTGTTTTAGAGATTTTTTAAACATATAAGGCATCATGTTTAAAAATGTAACAGGTTTCAATCAAGGAATGAAACTGTTCGATTATCTAGTTCTTTATGAAAAAATTGGAACTGGTCACCAGTTCTTTTGATAAGAACTAGTGTCATTAAACACCTCATATTATTATTTCTGACTCATTAGACTCTACTCTCGACAAAAAGAACGAATTCCTGAATCCAGATCTAACAAAACGACTGATTAATAGAACGAGAACCTGTCATAAGCCTAATAATGATTCCATATGATTCTAACAATCATTCTATGAGGTGTACACGTTTTAGTCAGCCATCAAATATTATATAATATACTTTTAATTCTAACTAAGTAATAAGAACATAAATATAATATCATATTGTAATCTGTTTTATTTCAAGATAGTAAAGTTTAGGTATTTTTTGCTGCACCTAGTATCATCATATGATATTATCGTCAACAGAATACTTCTTACTCATTAGTTATACAACACTTTTGAGTTTGCATGCATATCGCTTGTCCGTCTGATTGATATCTTTATAACGAGCGGAATGAATGAAAGCTTTTGGGCAACCTATTGCATATTATGATAGTACATAAAATGCAAGGCTGTGATCAGTAGAATGGTGATTTCGGGTGACACTTTATATTGACTTTTTAAAACTGAATACTGGTTGATTTACGATATGAAGAGTTCGTATACCATAGGTTACATATCAAAAGATAAGGGCATTAAGTTTTGGCACCATATGACTGACAGGATTGTTTGTGTTGTAAAGAATGATTCTTATGCTAGCCGAACAAGCAGTATTTAGTTTTACGCTTTAAGTTGATAGAAAACTGCAATAATTTTTTACTTGATCTACATGTACAAAACAATTCGCAAACTCTTTATGTACTTCTTGATGGCTGAAACTATTATAACATTAGAAGGTGTACATAGGCCAACTGTCGGAACAAGAACTTCTCTTGCTAAATGCCAAGAAATGTTTCATTAAAATCCAGAATACATTCTGGTCACCAGATGTATTGCAACATCCTTCGTAAGTTCGAAAAATTGATCCTAGATGATTGGATACGGTCGGCGGAGTAGGATGACGTTAAAATACCATATGTCTGGTATTTTGTATGTCAGGAACAAAAACTCTAAATTATAAAATCCCTACTTGGTTACCAGTTTTAACTTTTTCGATTTCATTATCCACAAATGTGGATTGAATTTAGGGATAGATTTAGGGTAACACGATTTGTGGTCAATGATAACCTACCAAATTAAATACATAGGTTCTCTTGTTAATGATCCGTACACTTTTAGATATTTTATCATACTTATTGAATACTTAGAACAGAACAAAGAGAGGTAGAAACAATAGACTAGATAGAAGACAAAAACCAAGGTACAAACACCTAACAACTATTATTCGATCCTTTTAAATAATACATCATATCTGTTCCTATTAAAAATAACACCAAGAAAACATAAGCAACTTAAGTTCTAACCAATTACAAGTGGATATTTCATTTTATACAATATCACGAGTCTCCAAGTTTCAAACAATGTTTTTTTTCCCTTTTTTTATAGGTGCGATGCATGCCTATCGAAAAATATTTCAACACATCATTTATAGGTAATCATATTTTATTGTCACTATAATAATCCATAAATTCGTGTGACTTCTAGAAAAGTGAACTTCATTTTTGTGAATAACTCATTGAGCTGTATCGAGTTATATCGATCAGAAATCAGTACAAAATCATGAACAGTTGATTTCGATATTCATATCATTAACTAATAGATACAGCTTGCTCTACACAGGTAGTAAGAATTTTAGTTAAAAGATTAACATATGATTTCATTTTCTTTGTAAAATCGAGAAAGATTTCTATCTCAGATTTTTTGTGTCATTGTGTTGCTTTTCTTTCATATAATATTGGATTTGCAGTGTTTGTATATCGATTTAATCTTTTCAATATTGCGTTTGGTTGCTATGGAAAGTAGCTGGGTATTCTATGGACACTTTCAGGCATTTTATGCGTATTCTACGATTGGTTTAATCAATGAAAAAGAAAATATCGATGAGATATTCAACAAGCTTTCATCATATAAGCTTATCGATTCCATTTTATATTGAGTAAATGATTTTCTCAAAAACAATCAATCATCTAAAGATGTCAGTAATGACTAAAATACGTATAGTTGTACAGTTTGTTGGACGATAATACCATCACAACATGAACAATAATGGCTATCATAATTTCTTTTCTTAGCTGTCAATTGAAGAGTAACAAAGTATAAGAAAAAAGCGAGAGTTTTGTGTAAGATACCGTTCTGTTTCATCGACAGATTTTTTTTTTTTTTCGTTTCGTTCACAACTTTTTCTTCCTTTGATAGAACACCATATAATAATTGAGCGTTTGATTGACTAGTTTAACCTGAATTAATTAACTGCATAATGAATATTAATTTTTTTTTTTTAGAAAATGATAGGACAATGTAGGAATCACTACTAATAATAATTTCGAATACAATTGCATATCGAACAAAGTTTTGTTAATGTGATACAATCCTAAGTTTTTTTGTTTTTTTTTTTAACTCGATGTCTTAATACAAAAAAAAAAAAACCATTTAGGAAAACAGTTGTTTTTTGTCTATGCTCGAATTTATTTTCATAAATAGCCGATAGACTTCGAACATTAATGTCTTCATTAAGTTGGAATAGAGTACGTCATCGATCGCATTCTTGTCGAGAAAAAACTACTCGTAAGTATTTATAACCTGTAGCCATAGAGTTTTTTTTAATTCTATCAATGTTACTAAGGAGCAGCACCCCGTGAATTACATCGTCAAGCTATCGAACGTATTCAGCGTCGTTTCGAACAAGAATTAAATAGAAGTCAACGGGATTTACAATGGGCAATAAATCAACGAAATGATTCTTCATTAGCAAGAGAATATATTGAAAATCTTCGACTTAAACTTAAAAATGATTATAATCAACTTGTTCAAGTAGGTGAGCATTGATATTTATCAAAGACAAAAGAAGTATATCAATGAATTTTATTTTATTTTTTTGTAATTTTATAGGAACAAGTTGAAGAAATTGAAAAATATATGAATCAACGTTATAATGAAGAACGTCGATTATATAAACGAAAACTTCGAGTAAAAATATAAATAAAAATTTATTCTTTTGAATTTATTTGTCATTAAAAAAAAAATTATAGAAAAAACATATTGAAAATGAAAAATTTCATGTTGAAGCAATTAATCAAGTTGTTCGTGAACAAGATACTATTTGTGAAGAAAAATTAGCTGCTCAAAGAAGGTTTGAAATTTATATAATTATAATTATTATTGTTTATCTTTATTAATTATTTCAATTATAATACTAGTCTTTATAATCGTCTTCTTGATGAACAAGCAGGACGTTTACGTGCTGAACAAAATCTTCAATCATTTGATTCTCTTAATATAGATCAATTAAAAGATCGATTAACACGTGTAGAACATTCAAATTATGAATTAAGACAAGTTATTCATAAATTAATTACTAATCAAAAACCGATATATAGAAGTGCAGTTTATATACCGAATTTTATTTAATATATTTTTCTTTTTTTATTAATTAGTTTCACCGATTCTTTTTTTTTTTTTTGTCTATTTTTGTTTTGGTATTTTAGATTATGTCTATTTCATCGTCGTCGATTATTAAAAGCAAAAAAAAAGTTGTAAGTAAATGAAACGAAAAAGAAATTGAATTACAAGAAACTATTTTTATTTTCTTCATAGAAAAGTCAATTTACAAAATCAAATCAAATTGAGAATATTAAACCAATTGAAGTTAAATGTTTTCTAGATGAAAATAAAATATCTATTGAAACGTATAGATAATTTGTTTTTTTTTTGTTTATAAAAATAAAATTTTATTTATAGTGAAAAGCAACAAGCAGATATTACTGCAACAATGATGACAATTGTACCTCAAGTAAAACGTTTAACAAAAAATGTTCCATCAAAAAAACAAACTGTTACTAAAGTAACTGATATGATTGTAACAAAACCAATTCGACATTTAGCAATATTACCATCAACAAAAGAACAAATGAAAAAAGAACTTACAAAACATGTTACTAATCTATCAGGTAGAATTTCTTAAAAATTATTTCTTTTTGGTTTTGTTTTATTATTGATTTGTAGAAACATTTACAATGTATGATGGTCCGACAACAACACCAATTGTTGGTCGTTCAATTGATGATACAATCACAATGAAGTATGAGTTTAGACTTATGAAGAAAAACTGAGTGTTCGGACAATTTATCGTACATCAATACTCACGACGAATTGTTCGATCACTAGAAATATTTTATTGGAATTATGAAAGGATACTTAATAAAGCTAAAAACATGTTTAGAATAGTTCGGATATTGATGAATTTCCTCTATTAAAATTTCGTGCTATGTATCATCGTTTTATAGAATTTTCCAATAAAAAAAAACTCACGCATAACTAAATTGTGATATTAAACAGTGTTCAACAGTTGATATTATAGTCTACAGTCAAAGACAAAAGTTTAAACGAAAATATATTTTTAATTTTTTCTATAATAACAAGCATCTAACTGAAATTCAAATAGTGATTCGGATAGCCAATGAAGAGCTCTATCAAATGCATCCTATACCAGAATTACATAGATGATTTAAGGTAGCAAAGTTTCTAGAAAACCCAAAACCGCATTTTTCAGGTCTCAGAAGACTTTGCAATAATTCGTTTCTAACAGTACCAACTTAAAGAACACAAAATTCTGAAGAAAATGAAGGGTCGTTGCCTTTCCTTTCAAAATTTATAATCATTACAAAAACTGAAAAAAAAAGTGAAATTTATCAACAAGCCGCTAAAAATCGTATTTTTTCGATTTTTGTAATGCTTATAAATTTTGAAAGGAAAGGCGACGACCCTTCATTTTCTTCAGAATTTTGTGTCCTTTAAGTTGGTATTGTTAGAAGCGAATTATTTCAAAGTCTTCTGAGACCTGAAAAATACAGTTTTGGATTTTCTAGAAACCTTGCTATCTTAAATCATCTATGTAATTCTGATATAGGATGCATTTGATAGAGCTCTTCATTGCCGATCCGAATCACTATTTGGATTTCAGTTAGATGTTTGTTATTATAGAACAATATCAAGAATACATGTTATATGTTTTTATTCTAGTAATCAAAATCAAATACCGATTTCCAAGTCTGTGAATATGATTGATATTTGTTCTTTAGTTTGAAATCCTTTTTATTATTTTTATAGTTGTCAGATACCAATAAATATCGACCTTACAACAGATAATACAACAATATCAAGTGTTTGCGAACTTGTTGATCAAACAAAACTGGTATGAAATATTGATGTTCATAGAATGACTTTTTCACATTCTGCCTTGCCCTGCTTGTTACACTGGAACAAAATACTCTAATGACCTGTCATATTGTCTTGATTATAATTTTCAATCAACTTTAAAAGCAAAAACATTTCTTTACTATGTCATAAAATATTGTTTTATTTAAACTCATTATACAATAATGCTAACTAATAGTTTAACACATAAAATGTGTGAGTACTAATCAAAGAAGTAAATTAAATTCATAAATATAACTATAGAGCTTAATTTAAAAAAAACGAACAATAAAAAAGTTTAAAATAATTATCATGTACAAGAAATAATATTAAACAGATATCTTATTTAAGAAATATTGAAGATGAAAACTTTAAATGAAGAGTAGATTGACGTCAATGTTTAATTTTGTTATAAGGTATGACTAAATCCTAGAATAGAAAACTAGATGAGAGTCTTACAGGTTGTTTTAAATAAAAATCTTTTTCATAATAATTGTATACTAGAAAATATTTAGGATACTTGTTTTCTTTTGTTTCAAAATATGATTTATTGTTGATTTGTATCAAAATTTTGATACAAAAAAAAAAACCAAAAAACTTTCAATTCTATTATTCGATTTCCTATAGTCGATGACAAAATTTTATTACATACATGAAGATGTACTAATCTGATTCATGTTGTACTATAGATAGTAAGAGAAGCCAACTATATGATGTAGAATTGAAGAAGATTCCCTCTATCATTATAGATTTTTTATAATTAAAATAAGGTTTAGTATTTTCTAGTATTTCTCAACAAGATTTCACTAGGAATAAATTATTTTAATTGTAAAAACCGACAGAGTTCTCTTCAACACTATATCATATATTTGACAACTCTTACTATTAGTGCCGAAACCAGGATTTTAACGGTGGAGGGGCTTAGCCCCACCTGGCCACCCCCTGGTTACGCTACTACTTACTATCTATGTCATCAATTGAAAATAAGATCAATACATCTTTTTTCTGATGAGTCATTCTTCAACAGCATTCCTTTTATTCTCTTATTCGAAATCAGTTAGAATACAATTTTTTTATCTTAGAAAATTTCATCACTTTTTTATGAAATATTTCATTTCTAGCAACAGAAACCACATTCATTAATTGGTCGTTATCAATTGTCTAATGTAGATACATCATCAAAATCTAATCCTTCTGTTCATCTAGCTACTGTATATTATGATGAAAATCAACCAACAGAAATAACTAATAAACAAATTCTTATTCAACAATTTTATACACAATTAGAAAAAATGAAAGCAACATTTGATACAGAACAATCTCATCAAATAACTACAAATACATTTACTTTTGATAATGGTCAAGTAAGACAAACATCAGCTATGAATCAATTAAAAGAAAAGACTATAGTAACACGTGTATCAAGTGCAAATATTCAACATAATAATATGAAACCTCCAATACCGAAAGTATGAATTTTTGTTGACTAAAGTATTCAAATGAAATCAAACCATTTGTTAAATTTGAAGAAAAAAAAAAAGAAAAGACCAATGCCTAGATTGAAGTTAATTTCAGAAAATATCAATCAAACTAATGATGTCTTTTTGTTCGATATGGTCTAAAGAAAATTTTATCATTATAATTGCTCTCATTGAAATTAGTTTTGTCTAATGAATATGAACAATTTGTATTCAAAAATTATCATCTCACTAAATAATATATTATATAATTTCAAATATATTTTTATCTCTATACAAAAAAAGATAAATTTTATATAGAAAATAGTTCGTCAAACAGCAACAGTATTTCGTTAAAAAAAACGAAGAATAAATGTAAAACATATTTGTTAACTACATTCCTTTTGCTGGTTGAAAAAAAGGAACTACAACATGTGTCTCTATTTATTATCATTGAGTACACACACACAAGTCTATATGTAGGTAGATGATAAAACCTTTTCTTTTTTTCCTTTCTTCCTTGGTGCATACATTACGCAGATAATATATCCTCATTCCATCAACATAATATGTCTTTTTTTTTCTTGAGTGCTTTCGCACAGTGCATCTAAGCTCATCAACATTCATGTTGCTTTTATTAAAAAAAATAACCGAGCAGAAAAAAAAAGAAAGAAAGCGACATTTTTTCTTTACTAACGTTTCTCTTTAATTATAGAGGCAAACAACGACAAAAAATTCATCTACACGAGTCCAATCCGCACCAATTACAATGGCAACACAATCAAATAAAGATAGAAATTATCAACGAACATCATCATGTAAACAACGACGTAATGAAAAAATATCTATTCAAGAAAAACAAACTTTTCATATTAAAGAAAAACCAAAACGACAAATAGAAAGTGCACCACCAAATCGTATTGATATTCATGGACCTGAAGTAACATTATTACCAAATGATGAACAAGAATGTCGACAAATGTATGATAAACTTCAACGTTTACAACCCGATGGTGTTTGTGTTGATCTTAATACATTACGTCGAGCACTTTATCCACCTGTTGGAACTACAACATATTCATCAAATCTTAATAATCATGATCAAACATCATCAGCATTTAAATCATATCGTCAACGGTAAAATTTCTTGTTTTTATAAAATTTTTTTTTAATAATTTTTTTATTTTTATTTAGTACTGAAGAAATGCCACAATCATGGATGAAAATTGATGATAAATATGTAAGCACATATGTATCAAAACAACAAAATAAACCTCAAATAAAATCGGACGAATCTAATCTTATAATTGCATCAGATAATACAAATATTGATCGTATTGCTGATCAAGTTAAAAAACATGCCGCAATCAATTATAGTTATTATACACGAACTAAATGAAAATAATTTGATTTCTTTTTTTTCTTGTTATGCATTTTTTTTCTTTATAAAATAAAAGACTAAATGGCACAAGGATAGAACCCATCGTGTGCAATTTAGTGTATAATTGTTTGAAATCTTAAAGTCTAACTTTGTAATATAATTTTCAAAAAATTATCGGCAAGAAAATAAATGGAAAACACAATATTATTTTTATTTGTAGGACATATAACGATTGAGAAAATTTCTCGCAGCAATGTTTTTTCTAAAGTATTCTTTTATATGAGTAAGGATTGATGTGAGCGGTTTTTAAAAAGAAGAGTGTATTGTGCTGCATGTATTTCTTATAATTATAATATTATAATATAATGTAATAATGTTTAAGATGCTGGAAATACTAAATTACAGTAAAAGTTTTTTTTTCTCTTTATGTATGGTTAGATAGATAGTGTTGAGATAAGAAAAAATTTGCAGCTGCTTTCCAAATGACCTGTTTCTTTCTGAAAAATAGGTCAATTTTCGATAACTGACAATTTTTCAAACATTTCATTTCGTTTGAATTTCAAAATTGAATCTTCGAAACCAGGGGCGGCGCGATGAGGTCAGAACAGGGGGGAGCGGTATCTAAAAATCGGAGAAAGTAGCCTAAAATTTTTGTCAAAATTTATAAAATTTGTCCGATTATACTTTTCCGAAATCGGAGAAAACTCTTTAATAATCTCTCTAAATTAGGAGAAAATTGGAACCAGAATTCTCAAAGCAGGCTGGGTACCTCCCCCAACCCCCTTGCTCGCACCGCACCTCTTGAAAACTCATTTTATGAACGAGTTTTCAAGATTAAGTTTTTCATGCTAAATTAAAAATAGACAGTTGAGAAATTAAAAGGAAATGAAATGATGGAAAATTTGTCGTTTATCGAGAAACAAGCGATCTGAAAAAAAACTGAAAATTTCTCCTAAATAATCATTCCTAAAAATTGAAAATGTAATATTCTTGATCAAGTTCATCACACTCAGTCTAATCATACAACAAGGAAAGAAACAAAAGAAAAACAATCTACTATAATTTCACATTTCCAATATCTTCTCAACACTGATGAAAATGAAGATTAAATTTGGTGTCTAAACAGTATAGTCGATAGTATATGATGTATAATCGTTGCTACATTGGATTGTTTAATCCTTTGAAGGCGGACTTTTTCTTTATAAAAGGAATAAAATCGTAGTGCCAGAATCAGTTCTAACTTGAAACGTATTAACTATCATAACTGTTATATTGGTTCTTATTGCAATGACACAAATAGAGAATTTTGAGATCGGAAAAGAAACAAAACACTCAAAGAATCTACATGAATAAAGCCAAAGATTTTCATTTCTACTGGAATTTTCAAACCGTATATATACGGGCTTCACCCTCAGAAGGTTAATAACATATTAACTGACTTTCGTTTTTTGTTGATTTTTCTCTTCATATTGAAATCATCAAAACATATATGAAACATACAATAAAATTTTGTTAAATAAACAAAAGTAATCGAAATCAATGTGTAAACTAAAGAAAATTGATGCAGAACTCTTAAATGCCTTCAAAAAACAAAAATGAAAATTAATTCACTTGATTTTCATTTCTAATTAACAGTAAATGCAATAGAACACTCAAGAAAAACTGAAAGGTGAAACTGACAAGTATCGTTCATTGTTTGTTGATTATTTGTTTTTTTTTGTGAACTCTTCTTTAAATTCATGATTTTAGCTTTCGTCATGTTATAAATCTTTTTTCTAAGAGAATATTAAAAATATTAATTCTCATATTTCAAACTTAACTAATTAGTGATGTCAACTATGACAAAACTACAAGGTTAAAATGTTCGATATGTATGAGTTATGTTAAAAAATAAATATGATGGGAATCCAAATAAATGATTCATTTTGCTCAAATATACTTACAAAACTCTTTTCTTTTTTCATTTTATTAGCTTCTATTTGATTACACATTGAATATGTTTTACGTAAATTGTTTTTATTACCTAAGCGTAAAATCGTGACTTGTAGTCCCACAAAAGAAGGAACTTTTTTTCTTTATATATTACATGTAAAAAACTGCATACACAATAAAACTTTTTTTCTTTTTTTTTTTTTAAACAAAAAACAAGACAATCCTTTAACACGTAAGTAAAAATACTGAATGATTAATAAAAAGTAATAGAAATTATTTGATATATTAGATCATGATTCGATTAATGATTTGTATTTCAATTTTTTCCTTTACTTTGATGCATGTTTATGGTAATGGAAATAAACGAATATTTATTCCATCAAAATTTCTTCAGCAAATATGGTCAAAAGATCTCGAATATCCGATTGATCATTCCGTATGTAAAATGATTATTTCAAAGCAAAACAATAGGAAATTTAATAATTATTTTAGGATCAATCTGATATTTCATCGACCGTTGAAGAAAAACCTATGGATATAGATCGGCCAAAAAGAAGTAAAATTATCCAAAAATGTAAAATTTAAATAAAAAATAATATATATTTATTTAGATTGTCTTGCATTTGCTCTTAAAAAACAACACCGATCTTCTAAATGGATGTGTTGGTAATAAATAAAATTATTCAATATTTATTTAAATGTTGCGCATTTTTAAAATAAATAGAGAACAATATTTCTTTTTTTTTCATTAACTCTGTGTTTTATTTCTCTAAAAGCAAAATTTTCAAAACATGCACTCAATACATTTAAGAAATTTGTCAAGATTTATTTTCAAATGTTTTTTTTAAAGTTAAAAATACGTTATTTTATAATAGTAGGCAGATAGGATCCAATTATCTATTTATTTATATTTAATATTATAAAATAAGTCAAAAAAGTACAATTATATTGATTGCATAGGATGTATGAAAAGTTTATTTTTTTTTGTTTGTCTGAAGGTTCTAACAACTGTAATTTCACTGCAATTATTCTAATCTAATATTTAAATATATTTAGGATCATGTACAAAATTTTAGACTATTGAGACAACATTTTCCACATTCATTTAAAATTATTATGAGAACATTTTCAATGTATGCTTTTTTTTACACGACTACTACTAAAGTGTCTTAATTTACAAGAAAAACGGTACCCATTTAATATCCGGGTAAGAAAATTTAATACCTTCAGATCGTTTACTAATCAGTTTGTTTCATTAGTTTCAACGGATTCCTTTATAGCATTTGAGAATGTAACCTATTTGGATGGTTCTCCAACTAATATAATTGGAGAAACTATCAATTTTGTTTTCACAATAATTGAAACTGATTTTCATTTGTACATAGAACATAATTTACTTTAGTAGTTATGTTAATTATACTTGTCTGAGTAATTGTATTTGATAAATGTATTATCAATTCATTGATGATTTGAAAGAAATTTTATATTCGATCGGGTTGTACTTGAATTCATCAGCATTGAAAGTTCATCGAAACAAGACGTCCGACAAATACAATGTACCAATCGGGCTTGTCAATAGTTGTCTAGCATAAATTTTTATAATTATATTAGCAGAGAAATAATAAATTCGATTTTTAAGGTCTGATTTTCTATAGAATATCATATGAAATTGTATTTAAATCTAGCATATTCAAAACTTATATTGTTTCTGTCTGCTTGGAAACTTCAAATATTATCTACATGGAATGAAATTCAGCATTGTCAATGCAACACTCAAAAATAACTTCGTTTAATTAAATGTACTGGTACATTGTTCATAAATAACAACACACTAGGAACCAACTGTCGAATAGTTATTCTAAAAAGGCTAACGAAAGATTGTTTCCAGCGTCCAATGTATTTATAATGAAAACTTGGTAAATGTTACTTTGATCAAATGATAATTCACTTAAATGAAAATTTTCTACGAAGAAAATATTCATATACATTCAGTCAAAATAATTAAAAACATGTTTTAATTTAAAATATTTGCTTGAATCAAGTGAAGTATATCGTTTATTACGCAGTATCAAAATAGAAAAGAAAAATTATAGAAAAAACATCCTGGAAAATTATATAAGACTAGTGCTCGAAATAGACTAGTTTTTTTTACATAGGCAAGTTCATCGAGTTTGCTATTTTGATTCGACTTGAAGGAAATTCTGAGGTAGATAAGAAAAACTCCGGATCAGATTCATCCAGGATAAAGATTTTTGCAACTCGGTCTATGTGAAAACCTCTTTGGATCGAGTGACCTATTTCAAGATTCGAATAGGATTTTAGAATGGTAAAAGTGATGATTAAAGTATGCAATGAGATAAGTGAAAGTGATGCTTTTTGTTAGTGATTGATATTTTTCGATGTAATTATCATTATAATTGAAGTCCGAAAGTAGAGGAAAAATTAAAATTTTCAGCAGAAATAAATACTTTTTCTTTTGAGATATACAATTCTATCTATAAAACTTCAAATATGCAATTAAAGAAATTTTCATGATTATCACATATATTTATGAGCATTGTTTATTCTTCAAATTGTTTTTTTTTTATTTTTATTTAATAAGAAAGTCTAACTTTCAAATATCTAGCTTAATATATATCAGTAATAAAATTTAATTTTTCGAATGTATTACATTGAAAAATAGATAAAGTGAAAAAAAAAGAAAAGAAATTATGAAAATCATTTATTGTGAATGACGAGCCATTGCAGCCATTTTAGCTTGTTGAATTAAATGTGAAGTTTCACGATCACCAGTTTGAGAGACTAGTTGTGCAAAATATGATTGTTCATCACTTAACAATTCATAAGGACTTGCAAATTCCATAACTTGACCATGAGATAAAACCAAAATTTTATCACTATCAATGATTGTTCGTAATCTATAACAAAATTACATAAAATAAAAATGTATTTCAACAAATATTTTCTTCATTTTAACGTAGTACAGTGTTCCTATAAGCCTACTGAACAGCTCCGAATTCCGAAAAATTTTTGTTTATTTCGTAGGACTTAAATAATTGTTTGTTTACCTATGAGCAATTGTTAATACAGTACAATCAATAAATTTACGTCGAATAGCTAATTGAATAAGTTCATCAGTTCTATAAATATTAGATTAAAGAAATATATTCATTATTAAATTAAATAAATAACCTATGATCAACATTTGCTGTAGCTTCATCAATAACAAGTATTTTATTTTTTCTAAGAAGTGCTCGTGCTAAACAAATTAATTGTCGTTGACCAACACTAAAATTTGATCCACCTTCAGTTACTTGTTGTTGTAAATCATCAATCATATCAGATTTTAATTGTACCTATAATTAAATTTAAATTAATTATTAACTAAATCATTTATTTATTTATTTTATTACTTCATCAAGTGCATTCCAAATTTCAATATCAGAATATTCACCAAATGGATCAAGATTAATTCGAAGTGTATCATTGAATAAAACAGGATCCTTTTCAGTAGACAAAACAAAAAAAAAACGAATTCTTTATAAATTTTTATATATTGATTAATTACTTGTGGTATAATTGAAATATGTCGTCGAAGATCATATAATAAAATTTGTTGTGTATCAATATTATCAATTAATATTCGACCATCTAATTCAGCCATACGAAATAATGATCCAATAAGTGAACTTTTTCCAGCACCTGTTCGACCAACAATACCAATCTAAAATAAATAGAAAAAAAATAGAATTATTGATTGTATAGTTTGTTTTTTTTTTTTGTTACACAAAAGTTTTACTTTTTGTTTTGGTTCAATCGAAATATTTAAATTTTTAAGTATCCATGGACTTGTTGATGAATAACGAAATGAAAGATTATCAAAAATAATACCACCTATTGGCCAATGAGATGGTAAAATTTTTAAATTTTTAATATTTGATGATTCTTCAGGTTGTAAATCAATATATTCAATAACACGTTCAGCACTTGTCATCTATATAATAAATAATAATGAAAACATATCAAAACGAGTGATTTTAGCAGATGAAATTTCATAGAAAAGAATTAATCAAATATTTGAGCTATTACTTATGTTAAGTTACGCATAAACAATTTATTTGAAGGTATTTGTTGATACTATTTTTCAAATAGTCTTTGATAACAAAAAAATTCGTTACGGCACTCCATATAGTATGAATCCGACGTGCTGTACTCTATATATTTCTCAGACGACTCGTCTATAACATATGTACGATGGAATAGGTGGTTAAAAGTCGAAAGACAAAATGTCGACAAGCAGGACGCAGAAAAGCACATTGCAGAAATAAAAAATGTCGAAAATCACTTTGTCGAATGAAAGAATGTAGAAAAAAATATGAAAAATGCCGTTGAAAAGACATTCTATCGGCTGACGATGAAAAAACAATTATCTCTTAATTAGATTATTTCTTTTTCTATGAATTTCACTGTTACGTTAAGAGGATCTAACAATAATGATTAGGGTGTGGGTGTGGGTCTTCTTTTCGATGACTCCCACACCAACACCCACACCCTACATTCACAGCCAGACCTACACCAACACCCATACCCTCATTGTTTCGACATTATTTATTTCTGCAATGTGCTTTTCGACATTTTGTCTTTTGACCTTTTACCACTTTACCTGTACGATGTACTAATCACTGAATACAAAAACCAGAAAAAAAAATCTTATATCTTCACGACAGTTATCCTATTGCGCTTAGAAAATTTCACATAAGTATCAAAGTACGGTTCGACCGGACCCGGATTGTATAACAGATTCTATTGATCATCTGAAAAAACGTAGTACTTTATGGTTCGTTCTAATATAGTGATTCATAAGTGATTTTGGAGAATTATTGAACTACATTATTTTGAGACTAAGTTACTATGTCATATTGCAGTTGCTACAGATTGTTCGGTTGTAGTTCTTCATATTTTTCTAGTTGCTTAGTAATACATTGAGTGTTGTAAACCAAGATGATGAATTTTTGAATCAAAAATACTTTAAACAAAATCGATTGGTATGTGACGAATAGCTCAAATACTTACTTGAATAAAAACTTACTTAACTCTTTCATATTAGTTTTTATAAGCTAAAACTGCTACTTTTGCTATGTCCGAAGTCATAATTAAAATTCTTTAAAAAAATTTTATTTTCTACCTGCATCATAACATCAACAGTCAATCGAATAACCCATTGAATAGCACCAACTAATGTAAATGAATAAGCCAAAATTAAACTTATATCAGAAATAGGTAAACCTATATATATATATATATATTAAATAAAGATTTAATAAATTAAATAATAATATAATACTTTGATATGTAAGTAAAATTGAAAAAACTAGAAAACCAATAAAAGCTGCTACAACACTTTCTATTCTCAAAGCTGACCAACGAGTCATGGCAAGCATAATACTATATACTCGTGTATGTTCATCAAGACAATGAGAAAATTCTTGTATACATATTTGTTGTGCTCCATAAGAACGAATCATAATTACACCTTGTATTGATGATGATAAATGAGAATAAATTGGTGATCGAGCTAGAAATTAATAAATACTAATAATAAACTACTTTATTAATAAATATATAAGTGTATACTTAAACTTTCAAGTCGTTTAATATCTTGTATAGCTGGTGCAAAAAGTCGACGTACTCGTGCCATAACAAATCCAACTAATGCCATTGGAATAAGTGATAATGGTTGTACAGATGCAATAAATATAATTGTTGAAATTATAGCAAAAAATGCCTATAAAAAAAACAAAAGAAAATAATTAAAAATAAAATAGAATTTCATGTTTTTTTTTTTGTTTTTCATACATCAACAAAATGATATGTAACATCAGTTAATTGTTCATCAATAGATGAAATATCTTTTGAAAAACGATTAACAACACGACCTTAAATAGAATTTTGTTTTTTTTTCATTTGTAGATAGTCTATTTAATCTTTGAAAATATTTTCCTACCAATAGGATTTGAATCAAAGAAAAATACTGGTGCACGAAGTAATGAATTAAACATTTGATTATGAAGTGATCGAGCTGTTATATGACATGAAAGAAAATAAGCCAGAGTTCGTATAAATAATAATATAATACTTAATAAACATAATCCTACAAAAATAAATTTTCATTATTTTTATTTCATCTATTATCATAAATAAAAGTAGCTGTTCGCCTTGAATACTACTCTTCTTGATGATATTGAACTGATTTTTTTAATAAATATGTGTTGTAACTAATCCTGAGCGCAAACAGTAACTTGCCCATTAAGACAGTGGTGGATCCAGGAACTTTCGAAGGGGGGGGGGGAGTGTGGTTACGATAAAAATACGATATTTTGTCGACAAATCGCTAGAAAGTAGCATGAAATCAGTATTAAAGAGGGGTGCGGTTGCCCCACATCCTCTACTGTAGATTCGCCTCTGCATTAAGAATATTTGTTCAATGAATAAAAATACTAATTTTTAAATATGAAACTTCCGTAAGACAATAAGTCTATTCTGCAATTTTTAGAGCGTCAAGACATGAGAGAATCGAATTAATACTACAGTATGGATTCATTATCTATGATCTCTGAAGTTGCGTATATATGAAAACTTACCAAATAAAATATAAAAATATTTATCTCTTTGTTTAAACCATTCTTCATTTGACATATTAGTAATCGGTGATATTTTCATTGATGAACAATTATTCGTTGTATTTATTGATCTATAACGAATACCTTCGGCATTAGACCAACGACCAAGCCACCAATGAGCAAGTAAAACAACTACACTTGTTACAGCAAACATAATAAAAAGACATAATAAACCAAATATTCCACAACCACCAGCTCGTATATAACGTAGAAATATATTTATATTAATAGAACCAATTCGTTTTGATTCAATGATTTCTTTTTGTATAGGCTTATCAATTGATGGTATTAATAAATTATCTTCTTCATCATATCCTGCATCCGTTGGTAATAACTAAAATTATTGATAGATAATAAAATTTAACTTTTTTTTATTTATTTATTATAATAAGTATACTGAAAATTGTGTTAGATATTCTGGTACAGAAGATAGATTTAATTGACTAGATGAAGTATTTGCCGACGACGAATCTACACGTAATTTACGAGTTGTTGTTTCTGTCCATTGTATGAATGCTGGACATGATTGTAATAATTCCATAAAAGTTCCAGTAGCTATTTGAACACCCTAAAAATGTAATTCTTTTCTTTTTCTTTATATAAAATTCTATAGAGTTTAATCGATATTACGAATGTTATATAATTTTTTCAGCTTTGAAAGATCAGGATTGAATATCAAGAGGATCATACAAGATTATTTACGCTCGTTACAAATAATAGTTCATACTAACTAAGCTACTATCCGTTTCAAAAAAGAATGCGCGCGATTGCGAGTTGAATAACTCGAGAACGCAAACAGTTAGCGACCTGCGGTTTTCACCATAAGAAAGAGGAGACTGGGGCACGTAAATATATAGAAAAATTTGATTGGTCAGCAATTGACCAATAGGATAAGCATTCGTTGAACATTTTGAAGACAGCGTTCGGAACG